TAGCGTTACAAGCACCTCTACTTTCAACATACACCCTTTATTCAAGCTTTGCTGTGAGAGAAAGTAGGTCGCACATTCTGCTGAGCGCGGGCTATTTGAAACGACGGATCAATTGAGTTGTCAAGCGGGCTCAATTCAAACCGGGCTGACAGCATTCTCTTTCCACAGAGGTTACTTGTCATATCTTCCTACGAACCTCTGTTCTAATACGGCAATATTTCCCTGTTCTCGTAAAATCCCCTAGCGGCAAAAAATCGCAACACGAATTATTACATGACACTTTTATGGATAACAACTTCTTTTTATTCTTTACACGACGTATCAGAGCTAATTCTTGCTAGTTGTTATCCATAAAAGTGTCATGTATTCATGTTCGTCCAACTTCTAAATGCCTTTCAAAAACGAATTATCTCCTTTCTTTCTATACAATAAGAACACGTTTTACATCGACTTAGATCCAACTTGACTAAAGCAAGCAAATTTGGTGCCGGGGACTTGTGTTGATGTGACACACAAGACTTTTAATGGCTGGCTTATCCGTTGTCAAGAAGAGGCGATGGAGTCGCCATAGATTCGCCATTACATGACTGAGTTCTGTCTAGAAGAAATGTTTGCGCATCGCGCAATGGGAAGAGGTTCTAGTTTTCCCGAAGCATACGGAAATTACCGAGGCCTTGCGAATGATCACTTTTGAAACCGCGTCGCTGCTTGCACAACTAAATCTCATTGCAACCAATTACGAATCCTGAACACTCGCACCATGAAAGGGCCGTATTAGAACAGAGGTTCGTAGGAAGATATGACAAGTAACCTCTGTGGGAAGAGAATGGGCTGACAGGTGCTGTCTGTCTATTCAGGGCAGTACGCTATACATAGCTTTATTCATTATACTTTGCTTTTGTTTTTCTCGTCTCATAAAGGGGTTTCTGTAAGAAAGCATGAACGCATTCAAACATCCACCTTTCATTAACCTTTCCTGACCTGTGACGCCCTGCCTACATTAACATATTCATGCATTCTCGTGCATACATTATCTCGGATTCGAGACGGATCCGGTTGTGGTACCGTTATGACCCATCTATTACTACTTATGGGATATGTCAGAACGTAATACCTCTTTGTACCAACCAGATGTCTGATTTGATAGACCTAGCCTCTTACCACTATGATATAGATTTTGGAAGAATGTCAGACTTCCTCATGTTGATATAGACTAATAAAGAATGGCATACAGCTATCCTGCCTTTTATTTGTGTTTGTTTCATTATTTCATTGCACCCGTGAAGATCCGGGTTAGAACTGATCTTCTGTAGCCCATGCTTGTCGTAAGAGGCGACTGACGGGGTCGGGAGGTCAGGCTCGCTGACTTGGTTGACACATGTCATCGCATCCCAGTTGCGTAGATCGATGCTCATGCTGTTGATCACTGGATTGTCTAGTCTAGAGGGGCGGTCTGGTATTCGGACTTCCAACAGTTGTTGGTGGATCTGTGGCATCTGCAGGTCTGGTATTCGGACTTCCAACAGTTGTTGGTGGATCTGTGGCATCTGCAGGTCTGGTATTCGGACTTCCAACAGTTGTTGGTGGATCTGTGGCATCTGCAGGTCTGGTATTCGGACTTCCAACAGTTGTTGGTGGATTTGTGGCATCTGTTGAGCTGACATTCGGACATCCTTTGTTACACTGTTGGTAAAAATGCTAAGAAAACTTTCTAACCACCCGTTCTTGGACTTTTGTAGTAAATATATTGAGTGATACCGCCTGCAAGTGGATGCCGCCATTGTGCATTCCTAGTCTGTGTCAGAGAAGCGCCAGAGCAGCATGCCCAGGTAACCAGTCTGTTTATCCCAAGTTCTAAGATGCTTCGGGGGAAAGATCAAGGGCGCCGACAGTACTTTATTTGCAGTTCGCTCTACCACCATGTATAGTGTAATAAAACACACTTTATTACACTATACATGGTGGTAGAGCGAACTGTATTTTTTTTCTAAGATGCCAAATTTAATACTTTCTAAGGATAATTACGATTAATTTAAGGCAGAAAACAAACGACGGTTTCGGTGACCTAAATTAAGAATCCTCGCACAGGGCTAACTGGCGCGCTGTTCTATTGATGTGTCTGACCCCCTACATTAAGACGAACGTTACCAGAAAAAAACAAATGATAACAGTTTGATGACGGTTTACGTTCGGATTAAATATCTTCTCTGAATTATTTTAATTACATCTGTGATTAACGTAAACAATATGGGGCAATATGAACGTCGCATTTCTACTACCAACGTAAGTTTAGATCAGTACATCCAGATGAAGCTGAGTAGTCAAGCGACATTCCACGATTGCATTGTGGGAATGTAAACATTGCGAACGTAACCGTGTCGCTGAAAACTTGTGAGTCAAATTGTGACATTTTAACTGTCGTAAAACATAAACGTAATGTTTCCACCAGTGATGTTAGCTCCGTGAAGCAACTGCAATCCACGAAACGGGATGCAATGGAGTAGTTTACTGTAGTAGGCTTTATTACCTTTATTTAGTGAGTGAGTGAGTTTAGTTTTACGCCGCATTTAGCAATATTCCAGCAATATCACGGCGCGGGACACCAGAAATGGACTTAACACATTGTGCCCATGTGGGGCATCGAACCCGGGTTTTTGGCGTGACGAGCGAACGCCTTAACCATTAGGCTACCCCAACGCCCCATCAAAAGGAAGAGTGAATGAGTATGGTTTTACGGAAGTATGCAAAACCTTTCTTCTCACACTAGAGCTGAAATACTGCCGATGTGACTCTAAATATAAACTCAATCACTTTAATTGTAGCTGGTTTGGTCTTTGGCAACCCGTGAAGATCCGGGTTAGAATCGGTCTTCAGTAACCCAGCTTTTAGCAATATCGCAGCAACATCACCAGAAATGGGCTTCACACATTGTACCCATGTGGGGGAATCAACCCGGGTCTTCAGCGTGATAAACAAACGCTTTAACCGCTAGGTTACCCCACCGCCCCGCTAAAGAGAGATCACCATACTAACTGACTGACTGAGTTTGGTTTTACTCCGCTTTTAGCAATATTCCAGCAACATAACGGCAGGGGGACACCAGAATGGGCTTCACAAATTGTACCCATGTGGGGAATCGAACCCGGGTCATCGGCGTGATAAACAAACGCTTTAACCATTAGGCTACCCCACCGCCCCAGATCACCATACTAGGGACCATGGGCACTCACAGTTCCCTTGCTACCTGCATGGACCCCAGGATGATCTACACCATCCCACAAGCAACTGGTGATTATCAGCAAATTTAGCCAAACTTGAAACAACAAAATTATTCCATTAAAACCCTGGCAATGATGAACATATTTGAATTAAGTGGTCTTAATTAAAGTAAAACAAAACACATATTATGAAAAAAATAATTTAATCATCCTTTTCTAATGCACTTATGTCACTCTCCTATAAACTATTCCTCCCTTGGCAGAGCTGATAGTCTAGAACACTATGTAGACAACAGCTGCAATCTCATAAAATCCGCTCTTTTACTCTGAGACAATTCCTCTCTGCATGAAGACCTCAAAGTACCACCATTGTTCAGAATGTAAATAATAACTTCATACCATTATGCTGCTGTTTAACTGAAGGAATAGTGGGGTTTTTTTTCATATAAATCCCTGTTCACAAATTCAAATTGTTAAAACATCAGCAAAAAATAAAGAAAAACAATGGACGTATCGCCAGAAGGAACTTCTGATTAATCACAGTCAGTTCTGAATGTAAATAATAAAGGTTATACCATTATACTGCTGCATCACTGAAGGAATTGCTGTCTTCTGTGGGCTTTTCAAAAAAATCCTACTTCCCAAAATCGAATTGGTAAAAAGGCTAGCCAAATAGTTACAAAAAGCTGATGTCCATATCCTAACTTTAGAAAGACCTTCACAAAGGGTTCGCCCAATAGCACAATCAACAGGACTCGATGAAAGGAAACGAAACTACTACGAAAAAACAGGTTGCTGATGAAATAGAACTTAATGCTAGAGTTTGAGTATGATGATTATTAATATTATAATAAAAATAACTTCTGGATAAATTAACAGAGCTGATATCTTGAAAATATCAACATGGGTGCAAGCTGATATAAATATGAGCCTGCATTCTGTTCTAAATGAAGTGAGTGAGTGAGTTTAGTTTTACACCTATTTTAGCAATATTTCAGCAATATAACAGCGGGGGATGCCAGAAATGGGCTTCACACATTGCATCCATGTGGGGAATCAAACCTGGGTCTTCGGTGTAATGAGCAAACGCTTTAACCACTAGACTACCCCACCACCCCACTCAAAATGGAAGAACTGTCTATCTGTGAGTGAGTGAGTTTAGTTTTACGCCGCACTCAGCAATATGGCGCACTCAGCAATATGGCGGCGGTCTATCTGTCAGATCTCCAGGAAGTGAGGATATGTGTATCAGAGTGAAACAGAAGCTGATGCGACTGCAGCAGTTAAAAAAAATCTTACTTACACCACATAACAGTAAACCATATCCAGCATAGCTTCATCATCAAAATAAATATTCTGGAAGACAATTACATATAGTCAGCACTCCGCACATCAATCTGACTTAAGATTAAGTACAAGACATCAACATTGATACCATGTTCCCATTCCAAAAATGAAAATGCTATGAATGAGTGAGTGAGTGAGTGAGTTTGGTTTTACACCGCTTTTAGCAATATTCCAGCAATATCACGGCGGTGCTATGAATGAACGAATGGTGAGGAGTAAGAGTGAGATGGAGTTTGGTTTTACTCACAGCTAGGGACACCAGAAATAGACTTCACACAATGTACCCATGGTGGGAATCAAACCCACGGTGACGAGCAAACGCTTTAACCACTGGGTTACCCCACTGCCCCAATCACTCTGACGAACAATATCATGAAATTTTAATCATCTGTTGTTCATCCTTGATTAAGTTAATTACGAGGCACAATTTTCTTAAAATCCTGATTTGAATTACACAACATGAAATAAGATGTCCAAACAACCTATACTCAAGTGCAAAAGAAACTTTGTGTCATGCACGTGATAAGACAGAGATGATGGCTTCACTGGCTGATCAAAGTCTCTGTTAAAAGATTATCCAAGGTATTTATCATAATCGAATGGTGATTTTATTCCCTGGATCACAAAAAGTGACCTACTATGCATTAACAAAGCATTATGCACGTCTTTCAAATAAGGACGGAGTGAGTGAGTATGGTATTATACAGCCTTTAGCGATACTCCGGCAAAATTAATGTTGGTGACACCAGAAATCTGCCTGACAGAATGTACCATAAGGGGAATTGAACCCAGGTCTTCAGCTTGATATGCAAATGCTTTACCCAACTGCCCCATTAGAAAAAAGGTTCTTTTTGTGGCATAAGGCTTGCAACAATGATTAAGCAGGACCAACTACAAACTCCCGGACAAGTCTTTACATTTGTATATAGATTCTAAGGCTTTACACCAACATGAATCACTCCTACAGTAAACTATTTTTCGCATCCATAAATATGAAAACCTGGGAATTTATTAGTAGGCATGCCCAAGAAGTAATGGTTCGAATGCAGGCAGAAGATGCTACTCACAAGCTTTTACAATAAATTTGCTGTTCAAGGAATATCGAGGTCATCACACATTGTGGGAAAATGAACCTGGTCCTCGGGGAGACCTTGGAAAGTCTAGTCCTTGTTCTATTCCTTTAATGCTAGATACCAGGAAGGGTGATAACAAATACCATCATTTTAAATGAGGAGTTATCATCATAAAATGAACATGGATTCCAATCATTTTGTCGTTCTTTATGAGTCAAAGGATCATATGGGTCAGAAAAACTCATGTTTTTCCATCATAGTCACCATGAGAAGTTTTATGTACGTGTGGAAACCTATCATTACAAAAATACAGAGGGTGCTTAATTAAGTTCTTTGTGTATATGTGAAATGTACAAGACAAAGCAAATATATTGAGACAACATTTCCAGACAAAGTAAACAACTTGAACTCCTGACATGGCCCAGCCATACTGTAAATATATAAATATTGTAGATACACACTTACCACAGACACAAGGTAAAATAGAGCCTTAAACAGGTACAAAACCTCCAGTTATAATCGTTCAGTTAGTAGTGAGGAACATCACTTTGACTTGTCAGTAGGACTGCAGGTATGAAGGTTACAGCTTTAGTGATCCCCAGGATAATGCAGTGAAGGTGAGGTTATCTGAAGGTGAGGTTATGAGAATGTAAGATTATGTGGTTGTGTGAAGGTTAGGTTATGTGGTTGTGTGAAGGTGAGGTTATGTGAAGGTGAGGTTGTGTGAAGGTAAGGTTATGTGAAGGTGAGGTTATGTGGTTGTGTGAAGGTGAGGTTGTGTGAAGGTGAGGTTATGTGGTTGTGTGAAGGTGAGGTGTGAAGGTGAGGTTATGTGGTTGTGTAAATGTAAGAGTATGTGGTTGTGTGAAGGTGAGGTTATGTGAAGGTAAGAATAAGTGGTTGTGTGAAGGTCAGGTTATGTGGTTGTGTGAAGGTGAGGTTATGTGGTTGTGTGAAGTTGTGTGGTGTGAAGGTGAGGTTGTGTGAAGGTGATGTGTGACGGTGAGGTTATGTGGTTATGTGAAGGTGAGGTTGTGTGAAAGTGAGGTTATGTGGTTGTATGAATGTAAGATAATGTGGTTTTGTGAAGGTGTTATCTAGTTGTGTGAAGGTGTATATCTACTTGTGTGAAGGTGTATATCTAGTTGTGTGAAGGTGTTTTTCTGTGTGTGTGAAAGTGAGTGAGTGAGTGAGTGAGTGAGTGAATGAGTGAGTGAGTGTTCCTGCTATATCACAGTGGCGGACATCAGAAACGGCCTTCATAAATTTTACCCATGCAAGGAATCGATCCACTTCTTCAACCTGACGATTGAACACTCTAACCATGCGGCTACTCTACCACCCTGTAGAAATTTAGCAGCATCAACACTGCTTGGCTGATATGGAGGGCTTGACAGATCTTCATGCTCTGTTGTCACAGCGTAAAAGATTGCAATCTGACAAATGACTACGGCGCAAATGTCACACATTAACCACTGGAACCATCATGATTCAGTAAACATGGTAAAAACTCCTGATATTTCTGCATAGCATTTCATAAAAAAAATACACCCAATTGCTAATTGTGAGAGAAATACAGTCACAATGGGCAAAACACAAAACATAATAAAGTCACTGTATAAGTATTATCACCTTAAAACATCTGACTGACTGCTGCTTCTAGAATCAATCACGTCTTCATTGGAACACACTTCTCTTTGCATGGAATCAAATAAGGAATGGCTACCATCGATAACATTGTCAGACTTTAAGAACATCTGGTTGCCATGGTTATGGTTGCCAAGGAAACCGGATTCACTTTCTACTGTCTGGTTGTCAAAGTGACAAACATCATCATCATCATCACCCAACCAGTTCCTTTGGTTGTGTGGTTTGTTGAAAGCACCAACAAATGAAAGGCTGTCGTTGTGTGATAGGGTTGAAAGACTTGCTCCATTTGAATCGGGATATGTACTGTGTGAAGGCAGGTTGTCAAGGAGATTATTGCCTTGGAAACTGGCACCTGATGACTGTGGAACACTAGTTAATAGATTGTCTGATGCATGGCTAGCGTGAGTGCTAACATCAAATAAAGTATCGTCAAACTTATCAGAATCCAAACTGAATTCATCAGCTTTAAAGTCAAACTGTTGTGTAGGCTGTTGCTGAGGATTATGTTGTTCAGCAGTTGTTGTTGAAGGGCTGTCATCATGAAATGTTTGCATAGGAATTTCTTCAGATTGTAACAAGCCTGTTGATTCGTTCGCTTCATCAGGATTTATGTTATCTGAATTCTGATTTGCCAGTCTCAGGGCCCTTGCCGCCAGCTTCATTTTGGCCCGGTGTTCCTTTTTCTCATCATTGTAGCACAACGCATATTCCATTGACTCGTACACCGTCATAATAACACAGAAGACACAGGCCAACACAAGCACCTGCAACAGAGCATGGAAATATCTGTCACTGTAAGTGAGTGAATATAGTTTTACGCCACACTCAGCAGTATTCCAGCTATATGGTGGAGGTCAGTAAATAATCGAGTCTGGACCAGACAATCCAGTGATCAACAGTGTGAGCTTCGATCTACGCAGTTGGGATACGATGACGTGTCAACCAAGTCACCCGATCCTGATAGTTGCCTCTTACGACAAACATGGGTTACTGAAGATCAATTCTAACCCAGATCTTCACATGGTGTCACTGTAAATGGACATTTCGTGAAGACTAACTGCCTACAATTTGGTAGTTTTGTTTGTCATTAAAATCACACAATATTCCACCTATAGGACAAGTGGTATATACAATTAAGTTTGAATATGACAGTGATCAACATCATGAGCATCGATTTATACAGTGTATGAAATAAGGCCCGTCCGACCGCCCGAGACGGGCTAAACTTCTGACGATGGTCTAAATTTACAGCTAGCCAGCCCGATGGTTTGGTAAAACATTTAGTAAATTTGTGTAAATTCACCATATCTTGGTGTTTGGTCTGGTTAAATCCATTTTGGGCTGGTAACAATTTGATGTTACCAGCCCTGATGTCTGGCTGAGTTTTTGGCTTATTTCATACACTGATTTATACAGTTAGGATAAGGTTACCCGTATCAACCAAGGCAGTAAGATGGGTCTGACAAGTGACCCTCTAAGTCGCCTGCTGCGACAAGCTTTGGTTGCTGAAGACCAACTCTCACAGGAATTTTCATGGATTGACTGGTTTCTTGAAATATGTAATTCTGACTAAATTCTACCTATTGCTTAACCAATAAATAGAGAATTTAAACCAATAAACATCCAAACAGAGGTTACTGAGGGGCACAACATTGATCAGAAAGTTCCATGTCCTGAACAACTGGGCCATAAATGATGACCCATAAATCTTGGATTCAAACCCATAATCACAACATCAAGGGATTAGACTGACTGACTGAGTTTAGTTTTACGCCACTTTTAGCAATATTCCAGCAATATCACGGCGGGGGACACCAGAAATGGGCTTAACACATTGTGCCCATGTGGGGAATCGAATCCGGGTCTTCGGCGTGACGAGCCTACGCTTTAACCACTAGGCTACCCCACCGCCCCACAAGGGATTAGAAAGGGACAACTCTGCACTGCACTCCCCAATACTGAAGCCACTAGTTAATGACCCATATATATTCTATTCAAACCTATATTCGTCATTTAGGCTGCTTTTATCAATATTCCAGCAATATCACCAGAAATAGGCTTCACACATTGTGCCCATGCTGAGAATCGAAATCTGGGTCTTCAGGGTGGCAAGCAAACGTTTTAACCACTAGGCCACCCCACCTACCCCATACCGCTAAAATCACCAGATCCTGGTGATTTTCAGGAACACAACAAATTCCTTTTCCCAATAACACCAAGTCCATTTTTGTTACATGTACATTTTGCATTCAACACCACAATTATCAGATCTTGGAGTATCTAAGGGAGGAAACTCTGTGTGGTACCTTCAGAGTCTTCTGTGACATGGGGATGTCAGGTTTGGCGATGACGGGCGGTGGCGAACAGGGCAGGCTGTAGCTATCATTGAGGAACTCTCCAGACATCGCATGTGCAATCTCTCTGTAACCATGGTAACAGGAATTAGCGAAGGGGTATGCAATCGACAACGAACTATCAGAAACATATTTTTTTATCTACAGGTGTTAATTCTACTGACATTAATTACCAAAACTACTGAGTAGAAATGAAATATATAAAAGAGAAACAACAGAAGTTCCAAAATAAAACATTGTAGTTTAATCTAATATGTGCCAAAAAAACGTTATGATCTGCTTAAAACTGTTATACCACACTCTGAAACATTCCAGCTACATGGAGGCAGTCTGTAAATAATAGAATCTGGACCAGACAATCCAGTGATCAACATCATGAGCATCGATCTACGCAACTGGTGAGGTGAGGTGAAATTGGGTTTAACGTCATGCTTGAGAATATTTCGCTCATATGACGACGTGTGTATGTGTATGTGCGGCTGCTTGCACTAGCCCAGACTTAAGCTGGTTTTAAAGTGCTAACTCACTGAGATACCATGCCGCAGTGAAGCCGAGCCGACCAGTCCTTGAACTCATGAATGCCGAGCGCCAGTCTGGGACCAACAAGTGCCATATTTTAACGTCTTTTGGTATGATGCGGTCGGGGAATCAAACCCGCGACCTTCCGCTCTCCGGGCGGACCCTCTAACCACTACACCACGGAGGCGGCCCTACGATAATATGAAGAAATGTGTCCACCAAATCAGCGAGCCTGACCCCCCGATCCCACTACTGGGTTGTGGAAGCATATATGAGGCAACACTACGGAGATGTTTACATGAAGACATGATTTGATTTGTTGAGGAGACATAAGTGGTACTCTGGCAAAGGAGTGATGTGAACTTAAATAAAATCCCAATCTCTGTAGATGGTAAGAGTTACCTCCTCCTGGCCTGGAACTCTTTAGGAGCGAAGGGAGTGCCAAAGAGTATGATCTGCCACTTCAGCAGGTGACCATTGATGAAGCGGCCAGTGTCTGTAAACAGAAACCACCATCAGCTTACAGTGCTGTACACTTGGAGACAGACAGACAGACAGACAGGTGAGGTGAGATGAAATTGGGTTTAATGTCGTGCTTGAGAATATTTTGCTAATTATGACAACGTGCATGCGTGTGTATGTGTATGTGCGGCTGCTTGTACTAGCCCAGACTGAAGCTGGTTTTATAGTGCTAGCCCACTAAGATACCATGCCGCAGTGAAGCATGAATACCCCACTCAGACACATTATACTGACTCCGAGCCGACCAGTCCTTGTTGTACCCATTAATGCCGAGCGAGTGCCAGGCAGGGACCAACAAGTACCATATTTTAACGTCTTTTGGTATGACGAGGTCGGGGATCGAACCCGTGACCTTCCGCTCTCCGGGCGGACGCTCTAACCACTACACCACGGAGGCGGTCACACACAGACAGACACAGAAAGACACACATCAGTCATTCAGAACATCACATGGTCAGTCAGTTGATCAGTAGGTCAGATAGGGAGTCAGTCTATCATTCAGTTTAGTCTGTCAGTTTGCAGCGTTTCGAATTCCCGCTTGTCCAGAACGTTCTATTTTCATCTCGGCCAGTCAAATTTCAAAAGTAGCCTGTCCGGTAGTCTGGTAGATGTTTGAGGTGTTTAAGGTATTATGATAATTATGTTACGATTGGACAGTTCATTTAACAATAACCATTACAATAACATGTACTTTCAGCCTGGTTGCCTGGGTCTGTTGCGCCTGCGCTAACGCTCCGACACTGTGGCTGCCTGGGTCTGTTGCGCTTTCAGCGCTTAACGCACTGCCTGCGCTAACGCTAACGCTCCGACACTTATTTGCCTGGGTCAGCGTCGGAGCGTTAGGGAACCAGGCTGATGTACTTTCAGTTTACCAGTCCGGCTGTCTGGCGTGGAATTTTTGGAGTTTAAACACTGCAGTAAGTAAGTAAGTCAGTCATCCAGTCATTCAGTCAGTCCGCCCATCTGTCAGTAAGTAGGTCAGTCAGTCAGTCATACAGTTGGGCACTCAGTCAGTAAGTCCGTTTTGATGACCAGACAGCCCCAAGACAAGACTACCCTGATTTCAGTCCTTCAGAATTGTAGATTTTGACATCATTCACTTGTTCAGAGTCGTGTAGTGACAGGAAATCTCTTACCCCAAATGCAAGATCATTTGACTTGGGCAAAGGGCAATTGGATTTTTAAAAGCCTTGAAAATGACTATGATTATGTATGCCAAGTGCCGAGGAGATTAGACATTTTCTACATTGTTCAGTGAAAAAGAACAGTACAAGTACCTGTATCCATGACGATGAGAGTCCACTTCCCCGTAGGCTTCTCCCCCCAGCATCTGACAGTGGAAAACGTCCAGTCTTGGAAACCAAACGTTGAACTGTAATAAAACACACACAGAAGCTGCAGTGTATCACATGAGTAAGTGCGTGAAAAGCAGGATCAATGGTAGAGGGCATCTTCCTCTTGTAGCAGGCTTCTTGACTGGGCCATACTGAAGGGGGCATGGGGTACAAGGGGCAAGGTGTACAAGGGGCATGGTGTACAAGGGGCATGGTGTACAAGGGGCATGGTGTACAAGGGGCGTGGTGTACAAGGGGCGTGGTGTACAAGGGGCATGGTGTACAAGGGGCATGGTGTACAAGGGGCATGGTGTACAAGGGGCATGGTGTACAAGGGGCATGGTGTACAAGGGGCATGAGGTACAAGGGGCATGAGGTACATGGGGTACATGGGGCATGGGGTACAAGGGGCATGGGGTACAAGGGTACAAGGGTGGGGCCAGAAATAGGGCATGGGGTACAAGGGGCATGGTGTACAAGGGGCATGAGGTACAAGGGGCATGGTGTACAAGGGGCATGAGGTACAAGGGGCATGGGGTACAAGGGGCATGGTGAACAAGGGGCATGGTGTACAAGGGCATGGGGTCTGAGGGGCATGGGGTACAAGGGGCATGGGGTACAAAGGGGCGTGGTGTACAAGGGGCGTGGGGTACAAGGGGCATGGGGTACAAGGGGCATGGGGTACAAGGGCGTGGTGTACAAGGGGCATGGGGTACAAGGGGCATGGAGTACAAAGGGCATGTGTACAAGGGGAATGGTGTACAAGGGGCATGGGGTCCGAGGGGCATGGGGTACGAGGGGCACGGATGGTCTTGTCGATGACCCTAACCCTAACCTTATCCTAACCCTAATGAGATACAATATGCCATGCAGAGTTGTCTCCCTTTGGTGTCCCAAAAACCTACGATCACGGGTTTGAATCCAAGTTTTCCCCGACTATGTTTCTAGGCTTGTCAACACACTACCTGTGCTCATGACAAAGTGGCAAATGTCGGAGACTGGAGCCACTTCACGCTTTCTTCACATATGAAGCAGACACACCTTGACCAAATGGAACACTGTTCAATAGCATTAAACCCGATTCACTCACTCACCACGAGCATGGGTGGCCCAGACGTCTAAGGACCGACCAATGGCCTGAAGATGGTTCCACTTGAAGTGTTGAGGTGATAAGGTGAGCGAGAAAGTGAGTTTAGTTTTACGCCGGTTTTTGCAATATTCCAGCAATACTAGAAATGGGCTTCACATATTGTACCCATGTGGGGAGTAGAACCCAGGTCTTTGGCATGAGGAGCAAACGCTTTGACCTCTAGGCCACCCCACTGACCCTGTGGTGATAAGGGTTCAAGATCCACAGCTTTAAATTATTCTGCACGTGCACATGTTTACGAGATCCGTGTTTCCTAATCAAATAGATGCAAAGCTTGACCATCCAATCCATTTTGCCACCTCTTATGACCATGGCTTCCTGAACACAACCTACATGGAATTAAATATTTATATTGTTCAAAAATAAATCATGGTCATCTTACTTGTCCAGAGGTCGGGGGGCTCCGATCACTGACACGGTTCCACTAGGGCTGATAAGTCGGACGCCAATGTGCCCACGCCGGGGGTGAGTGATCGTCACCGTCACCTCCACGTTCTCCAGTATGTACAGGCCGTAGCCTTCCACATGCTTCTCAGACACTACAAACACACCAGCAGAGATTTAGCCAACATTTAGAACTGACTGCTCTCAGAGCTGAAACTGCGAAAATGATCATTCTCTTCATAATTGTACAGAAATAACTAAAGTCGATTCTTTAGATTCCTCACAGAGACAAGAAAGTAATATCTGCAATCTATTCCACTCTAGAATCCTCACAGAAAGACTAGAATAGAGTCTTTAGAATCCCTTCAAGAAGACAATAAACAAAAATAATGATGGTCTCTTTAACTTTAGAATCCCCACACAGAGACTAGAATGGGAATCTTTATGGTATATTCCAGTTTCCAATCCCCACAGGAATACTAGAATGGACTATTTATGGTCTCTTCTTTAGAAGCCCTTCAGGAAGACTATAAACAATAATAATAAAGATCTCTTCTACTTTAGAATCCACACAGAAGGACTAGAATGGAATATTTACGATCTCTTCTACTTCCCAATCCCCACAGGAAGACTAGAATGGAATATTTACGATCTCTTCTACTTCCCAATCCCCACAGGAAGACTAGAATGGAATATTTACGATCTCTTCTACTTCCCAATCCCCACAGGAAGACTAGAATGGAATATTTACGATCTCTTCTACTTCCCAATCCCCACAGGAAGACTAGAATGGACTATTTATGGTCTCTTCTTCTTCCCAATCCCCACAAGAAGACTAGAATGGAATATTTACGGTCTCTTCTACTTCAAAATCCCCACAGGAAGACTACAATGGACTATTTACGATCTCTTCTACATCCCAATCCCCACAGGAAGACTACAATGGAATATTTACAATCTTTTCTACTTTAAAATCCCCATAGAAAGACAAGAATGGAATACTAAAGGTCTCTTCTACTTTGGAATCCCCACAATGAGACATGCATTGGTACTGGGGAACTATTCTGTCTTAGAATTTCCTCAGCAAAAGAAGCATAGGCTATTTAGGATCTCTTCTGCTTTAGAATCCGCTGCCTGATTCCACAAACTCTGATACCATCTTGTAACACATATTCTACCTGTATGGGTGATCTTGAGTGGGTGGTTTGACCCTTTAGGAATTGTGAAGTCAACACTCGTATTCCCAAAAGCATATGAGGTCATCCACGGTATTGTCCTCCAGATCTGAAACATGACAACAACAGCACAAGACTACAGAAGTTGTGTGATGGACATTTAGTTTTAACCTTCATTAACTTATTGTTCATTAACCAACAACAAATGAGAATATAATGTTGCTGTAAACATTCCATCAAATGAAATGTGAACATGATGACATATACACCTGAGCATCAGCTATCTCCTCAGCCAATCATAAACATCACTGTAAGTGAACACGTGGAGTATGTGTGATAGTATCATCTCCAAACCCCACCCCACCACCCCAATCTCCCATCCCTCCACACACACACACCAACTCTACTGACCCTCTTTTCAGAACCCTAACTCCACTGACCTTGGCTGCATTGACCCTCTTTCCAGAGCCCTAATTCGACTGACAATGGTTGCGTTGACCATCTTCCCAGAACCCTAACTCTACCCACCGTGGCAGCATTGACCATCTTCCCAGAACCCTAACTCTAATGACCTTGGCTGCATTGACCATCTTCCCAGAACCCTAACTCTACTGACCTTGGCAGTATTGACCACCTTCCCAGAACCCTAACTCTACTGACCTTGGCAGCATTGACCATCTTCCCAGAACCCTAACTCTACTGACCTTGCCTGTGTTGACCATCTTCCCAGAACCCTAACTCGACTGACCTTGGCAGCATTGACCATCTTCCCAGAACCCTAACTCTACTGACCTTTGCAGCATTGACCAAATTCACAGAACTCTAACTCTACTGACCTTGGCTGCATTGACCATCTTCACAGAACCCTAACTCTACTGACCTTGGCTGCATTGACCATCTTCCCAGAACCCTAACTCTACTGACCTTGGCTGCATTGACCATCTTCCCAGAACCCTAACTCTACTGACCCTGGCTGCATTGACCATCTTCCCAGAACCCTAACTCTACTGACCCTGGCTGGCTTGCATTGAACCATCTTCCCAGAACCCTAACTCTACTGACCCTGGCTGCATTGACCATCTTCCCAGAACCCTAACTCTACTGACCTTGGCTGCATTGACCATCTTCCCAGAACACCTAACTCTACTAACCCTGGCTGCATTGACCATCTTCCCAGAACCCTAACTCTACTGACCTTGGCTGCATTGACCATCTTCCCAACCCTAACTCTACTAACCTCTACTAGAACCCTAACTCTATTGACCTTTAACTGCATTGACCATCTTCTTAACCCTAACATTGGCTGCACCATCCATCCCCAGAACCCTAACTCTACTGACCTTGGCTGCATTGACCATCTTCCCAGAACCCTAACTCTACTGACCTTGGCAGCATTGACCATCTTCCCAGAACCCTAACTCTACTAACCTTGGCTGCATTGACCATCTTCCCAGAACCCTAACTCTACTGACCTTGGCAGCATTGACCATCTTCCCAGAACCCTAACTCTACTGACCTTGGCTGCATTGACCATCTTCCCAGAACCCTAACTCTACTGACCTTGGCTGCATTGACCATCTTCCCAGAACCCTAACTCTACTAACCTTGGCTGCATTGACCATCTTCCCAGAACCCTAACTCTACTGACCTTGGCTGCATTGACCATCTTCCCAGAACTCTAACTCTCTACTGACCTTGGCAGCATTGACCATCTTCCCAGAACCCTAACTCTACTGACCTTGGCAGCATTGACCATCTTCCCAGAACCCTAACTCTACTGACCTTGGCTGCATTGACCATCATCCCAGAACCCTAACTCTACTGACCTTGGCTGCATTGACCATCTTCCCAGAACCCTAACTCTACTGACCTTGGCTGCATTGACCATCTTCCCAGAACCCTAACTCTACTGACCTTGGCTGCATTGACCATCTTCCCAGAACCCTAACTCTACTAACCTTGGCTGCATTAACCATCTTCCCAGAACCCTAACTCTACTGACCTTGGCTGCATTGACCATCTTCCCAGAACCCTAACTCTACTGACCTTGGCTGCATTGACCATCTTCCCAGAACCCTAACTCTACTGACCTTCGGCAGCATTGACCATCTTCCCAGAACCCTAACTCTACTGACCTGGCAGCATTGACCATCCCAGAACCCTAACTCTACTGACCTTTGGCATGCATTTGACCATCTTCCCAGAACCCTAACTCTACTGACCTTGGCAGCATTGACCATCTTCCCAGAACCCTAACTCTACTGACCTTGGCAGCATTGACCATCTTCCCAGAACCCTAACTCTACTGACCTTGGCTGCATTGACCATCTTCCCAGAACCCTAACTCTACTGACCTTGGCTGCATTGACCATCCTCCCAGAACCCTAACTCTACTGACCTTGGCAGCATTGACCATCTTCCCAGAACCCTAACTCTACTGACCTTGGCTGCATTGACCATCTTCCCAGAACCCTAACTCTACTGACCTTGGCTGCATTGACCATCTTCCCAGAACCCTAACTCTACTGACCTTGGCTGCATTGACCATCCTCCCAGAACCTCTCTAACCATCTTCTAACTCTACTGACCTTGGCAGCATTGACCATCTTCCCAGAACCCTAACTCTACTGACCTTGGCAGCATTGACCATCTTCCCAGAACCCTAACTCTACTGACCTTGGCTGCATTGACCATCTTCCCAGAACCCTAACTCTACTGACCTTGGCTGCATTAACCATCATCCCAGAACCCTAACTCTACTGACCTTGGCTGCATTGACCATCTTCCCAGAACCCTAACTCTACTGACCTTGCCTGTGTTGACCATCTTCCCAGAACCCTAACTCTACTGACCTTGGCAGCATTGACCATCTTCCCAGAACCCTAACTCTACTGACCTTGCCTGCATTGACCATCTTCCCAGAACCCTAACTCTACTGACCTTGGCAGCATTGACCATCTTCCCAGAACCCTAACTCTACTGACCTTGGCGGCATTAACCATCTTCCCAGAACCCTAACTCTACTGACCTTGGCTGCATTGACCATCCTCCCAGAACCCTAACTCTACTGACCTTGGCAGCATTAACCATCTTCCCAGAACCCTAACTCTACTGACCTTGGCTGCATTGACCACCTTCCCAGAACCCTAACTCTACTGACCTTGGCTGCATTTACCATCTTCCCAGAACCCTAACTCTACTGACCTTGGCAGCATTGACCATCCTCCCAGAACCCTAACTCGACTGACATTGGCAGCATTGACCATCCTCCCAGAACCCTAACTCTACTGACCTTGGCAGCATTGACCATCCTCCATGCCTTCAGCAGACCGAAGCCATGTTTGTGACTGTGGAACAAGCCAGCCCCATTCTTCTGCCAGTGGGCAATGTCCACATCCACCTGAAAATTAAATATTCCCTTGTATGTATTGCAAAACCAGTAGCAAATAAGTCTCACTGGGAAGGTTAATGGCTAAATAAGACTAACCATGGCTTGAGAACATCTTATCCCCAAATACATGACAATTATTATCAAAATACTGAAGACGTCATCAACAGTGATCATAAATTAGCAATTTATGGAAGCAGATCTTATCAAAAGTACTCCCTGCTCACGGGAAGTCAGTTTCATGTTTTGGAAAAAGGAAGTGTGATGAGTGATGCGTATGTGTGTGATGTGTTATTTTGTGTGTGGTGGTGTGTATATGTGTTGTGTGTGTGCTCGCTTGCTGGTGTGTGTGTGTGTGTGCCTGTGTGCTTGAGCATGAGCGTGCTTGCTGGTGTGGGTGCATGTGCTTAATGCTGGTGTGAGCATATGCGCATGCATGGGTGCAAGAGTATGTGTGAAGGTACAGGTGTGTGTGTGTAGGGGGTGAGGGTGAACTGAGATCTGGAATTTGGTTCTAGAAAACAGTGCCAGTTCTGTTGAAGCATGTTATATATAGTTCTAAAAAGTTATACAGAGTAAATCACTGGGAGTTCTGCTGTAGACAAAAGATGCGATACTATTGCCAGCACTACTTCATCCACACTGTTGGTTTTACCTTGACTGCTGTAAGGATGGTGATATACTGGACATCCCTCCACGTCAAACACGGGCGGACCTGCAACATGAGTGCAACCATCGCTGCAGCCAGTGGAGCAGCTGCACTGGTGCCCGTGTGTCTATCAGTGCAGCCTTGACCTCCATGCTTCGTCCAGTCTGTCGTCACCTAGGGTGAATTAGTGAGTGAATTTCGTTTTACACTGCACTCAGCCATACTCCAGCTATATGGCTGCAGTCTGTAAATAATCGTATCTAGACTAGGCTGACTGACTGAGTTTGGTTTTACGCCGCTTCTAGCAATATTCCAGCAACATCACGGCGGGGGACACCACAAATGGGCTTCACACAATGTACCCATGTGGGGATTCGAACCCGGTTCTTCGGCATGACGAGCCAACGCTTTAACCACTGGGCTACCCCACCGCCACCCTAGACAATCCAGTGATCAACAGCATGAGTATCAATCTATGCAAGTGGGATACGATGACATGAGCTAACCAAGTCAGCGAACCTGACCACCCGATCCCGTCAGTCGCCTCTTACGACAAGCATGGGTTACTGAAGATCAATTCTAACCTGGATCTTCATGGGTCTTCAACCAGGGGAACAAATGAGTGAGTGAATAATTCATGCCACTGTCAGTAAAACATTATAAAAGCTATATCACAACAACCTAAGCAACAATCCATTTGTGGACAGTATGATTATCAATCCCCATATTCTATCCATGCAGATTCGGGTTAGAATTGGTCTTCAGTAGCCATTGCTTGTCGTAAGAGGCGACTAACGGGATGGGGTGGTCAGGCTCGCTGACTTGGTTGACAATTCATAGTAACCTAATTGTGTAGATCGATGCTGTTGCTGTTGAACACAGGATTGTCTGGTCCAGACTTATTTATTTACAGTCCGCCACCATAACACTGGAATATTGCTGAGCGTGGTGTTTAACAACAAACCAACAGTTTTTTTTAGTAATCCATACAAATTGTGTTTACACTCACCGCTGATTTGAAATATGTTGATTTCTTCTAGATGGGCATTGTTGCTCAAAGATAATTTTCATAAAATTATTGATAAATAATTGAAGATAAGTTAATGACTATTGTTCTCTATGACCTCTATTGATAGCCAGTCCAAAAACACTAGTGGTGGTCCGATTAATTGAAATAATCGAAGATTGGTCGCAGTGGCCAAACGACCAAGATATCGATCACATTTTCTCATCGAACACAAACGACTTTGGAACCGCTGTAATAGAGTTTGAAATACTTGATGATGGAACATATCTAGGACGTTGTCAGGGCCTGAAAACGTGTTTATTTCTGAGAAAACTCACTTCACTTTCTGAAAAGTCATGACTGAATATTTCTTGAAGAATCTGGGAAGTTAATGTTACAATGGAACTGAACCATTTTACACTGGATGTGAAATCTGCAAATGTAATTTGTGCAGTTTCTGAAAAACAACAACAGAGAACGAAAAGTTTTTTTCTTTATACTTATCTGCAACTACAACCTGAATAGGAAAATCTAAAAAATGACGCTAACCAATTTTTTTTCGATGATTGGTCGTTGGTATTGAACCAATCATCAATTGTGAGATTTCAACCAATTCCCAAGACTGAAAAACACAGCTCTAGCGTGCAGACTTACAATATCCCGTTCATCTGACCGTCCGCTGCTGAAGGTCACACCCAACATGGAGGCACATTCTTCTGCATAAAATGGCATCCGACCCATTTCATCCACCGCACCTGGAACGTACCGGTATTACCACTTATAATACACATCAAAAACAAGACTACTAACATAAATATGTACTTTTCTGACTAAAATTGATATTTTATACTTATCCTGAGTCATGCTAATTATGCTTGTCGCCTTCCTCTTGCAAATGATAGTGGAACACTTGAAATCCCTTGAAGTTCCCTTCTAAAAAAGCGGACTTAAAATCACTCACCCACGAGTAGCATCCCTTTTCTCCCTTTGGCACCCAAATGGTCAAATGATCAGCCATATTTGTCACTCTCACCGTATGTAAGCCAGACACCCGGATTTACAGGGAAATCCAGAGTGCCATAAGAGGGGAGGTTGGGAGGGCTAAACTCATGAGTCAGGATAAGTATCTCCACGTCAGGATAGGTGCTCGGACTCTTCCGGGGTTACCTCTAGGAGCTCCGGTTGGGCGTCGAAAGGAGCCTCTTCCTCCTTTCATGCTCAAATACTTCTTTTCTCTGGCTCTCTCGACTCCTGCAAACTTAGATTTGTTGGAGTAGAGCTGAGATGTCTAAAAATCACGTTAGCCAAGGTGTCGATGGATTTAATCATCATAACTTCCCTAGAGTTGTGAGAGACTTCCCTGGCGACTTCTTCAATTCCTCCTCCAAAGATGTAACATGCTGACCATTGGGCTCTGTATAAAGACTTGGTGAAGGGTTAACTCCAAGTGCATGCTGACAATAACCCTCGTCTTCTCAGGAGAGTCAAGCCCGTTGATGTGGATGCTAGGTGCTTCGACATAAACTGATGGTCTCTCTTCTGACTGACTGACTGACTGAGGAGTTTGGTTTTACGCCGCTTTTAGCAATATTCCAGCAATATCATGGCAGGGGACACCAGAAATGGGCTTCACACATTGTACCCATGTGGGGATTCGAACCCGGGTCTTCGGCGTGACGAGCCAACGCTTTAACCATTAGGCTACCCCACCGTCCCGGTCTCTCTTCTGCAGTAGTAGAGCAGAGTATATCATCCGGTCTTCTTCGGATGAGGAATTCTTGAATTTCGAGATGAGTGTTTCCCTCGATCTGGATAATCCAAAGAAAGTATGTCTGGTGGTTGTATCCAGCTGCGCTAACTTCTTATCCTCAATCTTGTAAGTTCTTTGACGGGAGTCGGTGATAATCTTGTAGTCATCATCAACATGATCAACCTCTGGAGCCTTCAGGAAGGGTTCCATCCTATGTAGAAGGAATTTCCTGGAGTTGAATGTCGGGATGTGCTGACTCTGCGAAATGGTGGCCTTATCAAAAGCCAGGTAAACGCCTCATCTGTGTCCTTAGAAGGTGATGATAAGACCAAGCCATTGGTGATCCAGGAGTTAACTTCCGTATCGGAGAATATGCCTTCACCTTCATCCTCTGATTTAGATATTTCTCACTCTAAGGATGCACGATGACATGAGTCTCTATAGGATTATCTATAAGATGAGTTTCGCGCAGGCGATCGATCCCGATGCGATCTTGAATCCTTCCTGGAGGTATGAGATCATCCTCTAGGCCTTCGTGAAGGTGGATTCCTGGATGTAGCTTCCCCTCTGTAGGAGTGCCTTCGCACAGGCTCTTGATGGGCGTCAGAGTCCGATAGAGATGACGACTCATATCTGCGACGTCTGTAGGGTTCGGGAGAACGCTTTGATTCCTTCCTGCGTGGAGACTTCTTAGCAGCACTCTCTGGGGCGTCTACGTTGGTAACGGAGTCCAGACTCCTCACTTCAGATGGGGAAGATCGTCGTGTCGGTGAGCCTTCGCGCAGGCTTCCCTCTTCATCTGGATGTGGTGGGGAGACTGTAGAGCCTTCACGCAAGCTAGTAGTCGTTGTAGTGGTCTTCATAGCAGCCTTCTCCTGAGCGGAGCGATGTTCCATCATCGACATCATCTGGTCTGTAAACTGTTGCATGAACAGTCCCGGGTTGAAGTTCTGCGTTGTCTGAAGAGACTGCTGCAGGGATGATGCATCTGATACTGAAGAGACGTCATCTAAGGATCGCTGCACTCGTGAAGAGTTGACACCGCTGCTATCTCTGGTACCCGATGTCTGCATTGATAGCAGGTCTTCTGTCAATGTCTGCGCTGATACCAATGCCGATGTAGCTGTAGAAGCAGAGCTGATCTTAGACTTCGCTGAAGTCTTCATGGTAGTAGCCTTCTTCTTCTGTGAAGATGAAGATTTGGCCTTCTTCATCTGCGATGAGGTCAGCTCAGTAGACGATGATCTCTTATGGCCTCCAGCCTTCACCCCTGGTACATCGACCTGCTCCCGAGAAACGTTCAGCAATTCTCTAGAATTATGAATATCTGCAGCAGTGGTTAACACACGGTTATCAGCGCAATCACTCGATTTAGACATGACTTGTGAATACCTACGTACCCAGTCCTTAGCACGTCTATGGATGGAAAAAAGGTAATTATTAAATTCAACCGAACTTAAATGAAAACATGAAGAAAACACATGTCAAACAACGGAAAATATAAATCAAATTTCCAACCGTAATGTAGAATATAATCCTAAAAACCGTATACAGCAATAATTTTGATGTAAGGTACGAAAATAAAAAAGAATATGTGCCGTATAGGGACCCAGGTGCTCTCACAACCGTCCTCAAGGGCGAAAAAGGAGAGACTGACAAATATGGCCGATCATGTGACCATTTGGGTGCCAAAGGGAGGAAAGGGACGCTACTCGTGGGTGAGTGATTTTAAGTCCGCTTTTTTAGAAGGAAACTTCAAGGGATTTCAAGTGTTCCACTATCGCAAAAGGAAGGAGACAAGCATAATTGCCATGAGTCAGGATAAGGAAAAATAATCATTTAACAAAACATGCTACAACATGACAATTAGCTGAGAAGATCACATGCTTAAGGGTGTCTTCTTCATGTCACATTATGTTGATATGTTAACCAATCACAGTGTAACAATTGGTAAATACTGCATCTTGTACGAGTGAATGTTTATGTGAGTGAGTGAGTAAGTATGGTGTTTGCAATATCCCAGCAATATCATGGGGACTGCACCAGAAATAGGCTTCACACATTGTAGCCATGTTGGTAATTGAACCCCGGTGTTCATCATGACAAGTAAACGCTTAAAACATTGGACTACACCACCCCCCGATGTTGGGTGAGGTGAGGTGAAATTGGGTTTTACGTCGTGCTTGAGAATATTTCGCTCATATGACGACGTGCATGCATGTGTATAGGGATGAGATACCATGCCGCAGTGAAGCATGAATACCCCACTCAGACATATTATACTGACTCCAAGCCGACCAGTCCTTATTGTACTCATTAATGCCGAGCGCCAGACAGGGACCAACAAGTACCATATCTTAACGTCTTTTGGTATGACAAGGTCGGGGATCGAACCCGCGACCTTCCACTCTCCGGGCGGACGCTCTAACCACTACACCACGGAGGCGGTCCCCCGATGTTGGGAAGCAAACCTTGGTGGGATGTATTATCAGCATCAACATCATCCTATTGCACTCCTACTCAGGGTGCAGTAGTCGCAGTTTGTGGTTTGTGGTTACAGCGTTTGCTTGTCACGCTGAAGAAGCATTTTCGATTCCCCACATGGGAACAGCGTGTGAAGCCACTTTCTGGTCTCCCCCACCATGTGGACAAAGCTATGATGTATCACAGAAGTTATTTACCTATAGTTAGTGTATAGATGGAGTTCGCATAGCCATCATAGTTACAGTTGTCTTGGTGACGACCTCCGTTGCCACTGGCAACCACAAAGATGCTACCGTAACCACTTCTACCAAAATCCACTCCATACTTCATAGCTTTCTGAAAAAACAAAGAATCCCTGACAATCTTTGAAGAAGAAAAATAAATATGACAAAGCACCTTGTTTTCTGAGGAATATTGAACATAAATGCCAGGAATTTGTTTGTTTGTCGTTTAATTGAGTGAGTTTAGTTTTACACCGCTTTTAGCAATATTCCAGCAATATCACGGTGGGACACCAGAAATGGGCTTCACACATTGTACCCATGTGGGGAATCGAACCCGGGTCTTCGGTGAAGATCAGGGTTAGAATGAACCTTCAGTAACCCATGCTTGTCGTAAGAGGCAACTAACGGGATAGGGTGGTCAGGCTCGCTGGCTTGGTTGACACGTCATCGGTTCCCAATTGCACATATCAATGCAGATCACTGGATTGTCTGGTCCAGACTCGATTATTCACAGACCGCCACCATATAGCTGGAATATTGCTGAGTGCGGCGTAAACCTCAACTCAATCACCATTTGGTGTCTTATCCCCAATGAGCTCTTTATCATCTTTAAATATATGTGTACCTTTTCTCTAATGTGAAATATATTTTGGAATTTCTTTAAACCTGATGTTTTTTACCCATAGCAAAGATTTGTTTACCTTATATTGCTGTCTATAATGCTACCCCTTGTATGAGGCAACCCATTATTTACGTTTATTATTTACAGACTGCTGCCATATAGCTGAAATATTGCAGAGTGCGGCGTAAAACTAAACTCACTCACTCACTCACTCACTCACTCAGAGTACATAACTATTTACATCTGGATGGTTGCTGTGATTGTTATCACGCTCAGTGCTTTCATTAACTATCACGTCTAGTTTACGCTTTTAAAGACAGTGGATTATAGAACCTGAGGAATGTGCACATTTATAAGAGGTTGGTCATTTAGAAAAGAATTAAAATTATGACAAATCTATCTCATAATAAATGTCCATCCACCAGTGGCCATAAAAATAATAATGACACAAACAGAATGCTTAATAATACTTTTATATGAAAATGAGCAGTGATTTCATAGTTGAAAGACCTTCTCTCCTCATAAGCAAGGTGAATGCATAAACAGTTTCTTTGCTACACAATTGACACTTCAGTATTTCAAACTCTGGATTTGCCTGCAGTGTTTCATACTGGCTCCAGGGGCGGTGGGGTAGCCTAGTGGTTAAAGCGTTGGCTCGTCACGCTGAAGACCCGGGTTTGAATCCCCACATGGGTACAATGTGCGAAGCCCATTTCTGGTGTCCCCCGCCGTGATGTTGCTGGAATATTGCTAAAAGCAGCGTAAAACCAAACTCAGTCAGTCAGTCAGTCATACTGGCTCCAGTTGACTTAAAAAATGTCGATAAAAGACTCCCCCGATACAGATTCCTTAATGAACACAAATCCATACCAGCAGACATGTTTAAATGTTACCACAGTTACTGTTGGTGATATAGGCCAACTTACAGCTGCCATGATGTGAGGTCCATCCACTGTCTTCCCATCATCGTCCGGTCCCCAGCTGGGCAAGTCAATAAACAAACCGGTTTATGGAACATGTGGAAGTTAATTTAAAATATTAACAAGGTTTACACAACGCACAAATGTGGGGAATGGACGCAGAAACCCCAAAATACTGCGTCCGAAGAAACGCACGAAAATACCAACCGTGCATCAAGACTAGATATCTGTGTGTTATTTCATGACCACTGTCCACATAACCACTGATTCATTCCACGCTCTGGAGTAATTATCTGACCATACACTACACTACACCATTTTAATACTTGACAGGGCCCTCATAGTTCCAGTAAGGAACTGAAACATTTATTGATGGGGGTCCCTCGACCTTCACTTTTGTAAGTCAAGGTAAAACCGTGTGTTAAAATACACCTAGAGGGTATGGATTGCCAGGGAATCTAAAGCCATGATATTTGCTGTGCAGAGTTGAATAATGTGCCAGAACCTAGGTGGAACACTCAAAAACTAAAATTCCTGCAAGTGTTTAGCCAACTAAAGGTGCATACAAGCCTGAAAGAGGCATTTCAAATAGTACATGTTAATAACCTAGATAATAAGGTCATATCATGTAATCTATGCAAAAAGAAACAAAATAAAATTAACTAAAAAAGTTTTCCTCTAAAAACTTCAAGACTATCTTTTCGCAATTGTCACTATGGTTACCTGCAACTGTAGACATCATTCACTTGCAGATTCTTGTTAAAGGCGGCAGCCTCGAGGCTGTCAGTCATTGGTCCATCCAACACACGGATACCTGCCATAAAAGTGAGAGTGAGTGAGTCAGTTTAGTTTTACGTTGCTTTTAGCAATATTCCAGCAATTTTACGGCGGCAGACACCACAAATGGACTTCACACATTGTACCCATGTGGGGATTCGAACCCGGGTCTTGGGCGTGATAAGCGTGGGCTACCCACCCCTGCCTTTAAAACACCACCATGGAACTTAAATTAGACTTAATTAATTTTGCTGAACATTCAAATCTGTTGATATGCTATATTTCTTAGATTGGGGATTCATTTAGGATTTCAAAATGACTGGCATTTTGTGAAACAATTGTTATTTTGCTCAAATGAGTCCAATTTCACCTCTACAAAGTCATGAAATCATGAAACTCACTCACTCACTCACTGGTGGACTATTTTGTTTTGCTTGTATTTTCAACTCCACACTCAGCAATATTCCAGCTAAATGGCGGCAGTCTGTAAAAAATCTTGTCTGGACCAGACAATCCAGTGATCAACATGAGTATCTATCTGTATGCCTCAACCAAGTCAGCGAGCCTGACCACCCAATCCCGTCGCGCCTCTTACAACAAGCATGGGTTGCTGAAGACCAATTCTAACCCAGATCTTCACGGGTGTTGGTAATTACCAACAAAAACATCATTATCAATAAAATTCAAAGGCAGACCATTAATAAGGAGTTCATTCCTAGTAAGGATGGGAAAGACGCAACAACTCGGTGCGCCTAGTGGCTGAAAGAGTTGTATGATCCCCAGGGAGTTGAGATTGATAATACGATGTGCCGTTGAGATTGACATCCAATGATCGAGGGAAAAATACTACCTTGAGCATGTACGAGTTGCTATGGATATGTGCTATATAAATATCCTATAATAATAATAATAATAATACTTTTATGTATTGTAAAAGTAAATGAAACTTATCAATAACACAATTCCTATATCAATAATCATTTCTTCCCATTGACAACATTTCCGCTAGCAATCTTTTTAACCAACCTGAGTGAGTGAGTGAGTGAGTTGAGTTTTACGGCACACTCAGCAATATTCCAGATATATGGCGGAGGTCTGTAAATAATTGAGTCTGGACCAGACAATCTTGTGATCAACAGCATGAGCATCGACCTGCTCAATTGGGAACCGATGACATGTGTCAACCAAGTCAACGAGCCTGACCACCCAATCCTGTTAGTCGCCTCTTATGACAAGTATGGGTTACTCAAGGGTCATTCTAAACCGGACCTTCACAGGTCTTTAAAGAACCTGAATTCCACATAGAATGCACAGAATCGGTTGAGAGAGTGTGCACAAATCACAATAGTATATTAAATGCTATCTACACAAATCTTAAATCAATAATGGTTAATTATTCTGCAATTCAACAACATTGATCTTTTTAGCCAGCCCAAAATCCACACTTAGGGCACATGGAGGAGAGAGGGTGTAAATTTAAAAATTATTTCATCACAGTAGTTTGTATAATATATTATCAATCATGCAAGTCTCAAATCAATAATTGTTAATTATTCTGCCCATTGAAAATATTTCCAATTATTGATATTTGATATTTTTAGTTAAAGAAGTAGAGTGAGTGAGTGTGTATGGTGTCATGCCTCTTTTAGCAATATTCCAGCAATATCACAGCAACATCACCATGGGTTTCACACATTATTCCCATGGGGAATCGATCCGGGTCTTCGGTGACAAGTAAACACTTTAACCATTGGGCTACCCCACCGACCCTCAAAGAATTAGAGAGTGTTTGTAAATTAAAATTTTAGTATTATTTAAGTTAACATCGATCACACAAGTTTTAAATCAATAATCATTAATAATTTCTCCCAGAAACAATATTCCAATTAATAATCTTATTAATCAGCCTGACTTCAACATGAAGGACACAGAATGGAAGGAGAGAGTGAGACATATTTACCCGACACCTTGGCTTGGTAAGCAACTCCGACACCACACAGGTTGTTGTCGGCCACAGCAGCTATCTCCCCGGCACAGCGAGTACCATGGTGGTTTGTTGCTGCAGAACAGAGACAGCGAGTTAGATCACATGGTCACAGATTTGTCAACTTGTACCACACAGCACCAGACAAATAATTCAGGTGTGCCCAGGGGGGGAAATAACTTTAAAATTGCTAGTGTACTCCGGAACAGTGGCACATGTAAAATCACTTGCCCTGATAATTTTTCCACTATACCTGCCGTTTTCTTGTTGATTTTTTAAATAAACAACATAATTAACATTGGAAAGCAGTGTTCACGAATAGCATCAGACCCTCTGACAAATCCGGCAGATTCTCCAATGGTCTGATAGAAGTCTACAACCTGCCGGCCCCAGTGTCTGACTATATTTCGCAATGACTTTGACTAAGTTTGACTGAAGTTGTTTTATGTGACATGTGACACTTGTTTGCTGTTTATAAATCTTATGTCTGTTAATAATTTCAATGCCAATTATAAGAAATGTTCAATCTGAAATGTGTGTTTAATTTTATTCTATGGGTCCTGTGAATGTTCAATGGGTCAGACAGATATCTGAAACTTACAGGACCCAGTGACCTTTTACTTTGAAACACCTTTAAAGTGAACACTGTGGAAAGTCAACTGGACACGGTACAGTGTGATATACAAATTTGCTTGCCCTACAGAAAAAAACACTGACTCGAACGTTGGGCAATAGGTTATTTCCACCCCTGGCGCCTTTGTGCAACTGAGCGTGCCCATAACTTTTGATGATCCAGTTTAAAGGCACAATGTCAAGCATTTTCGACTACATTTTGGTGTAAAATATATATATTGGGGCACATGCACTCACTTTAGCTTCCTGTTGTTGCAATAAAGGACTCATTATCCATCAAGACTTGCCTGAAATCGATAATTGAAACTTCAAGGCAAACAGCTTCCAAACAGACACCACTTGCCATATATGGAATGTAAGCGATTGCTTTGTACCTTTACAACTGTCGCACAAGGTATTGTCAGTGTTTGCCAAACTGGCCTCAATCACACGTTGCATTATAGGAAATTTGTAATAAGCATTCAAAGGGACATAACTCTATGGGGTTAAGCTTGAAATAAAGTTTGGTCGGTAGAGGGCACGAGAGTTGATTTAATGCAACGTTGCATTAATTCATTCGAACTTTTAATTTCACATTGTAATCTTAATATGTAATTCTTTTTTGGATAAATTATATGGTAGCTTCACTGAGGCTGATAGTTAGTATTAATGAGAGAAATGCAATTTGTTTTTATGGGTGGCAACTTCTCAATCTCACAGCTTAACAAGTTTGTGACCATTATGAATGCCAGTGCACATAACACTAAGACAGGAAATCTGTTTGGGATGATAACATAGTTTGTGGGTTAGTTAATGGGTCAAGGAGAAATGAAGCTGAACTATTCTTGCAATCTCGACAGTGTTCAGGAAATCCTGCTCTCAACTTTACAGGTTTACATGATGTTTACTGATTTATTAAAACTAGTCAATTGACATGGTTGTGTGGTAATGTTTAAAGTTAAAGGCACAGTATCACGCACTTCTCTAAAAGCAATATTGAATGGGTGCAAATATGTTTTAAATAATTTGACATCATGAGCACTGATCTATGCAAATGGCCTGGAATATGATGATGACTTGCATCAGAGCTACAGAAAACTTTTGGGGTTATTGAGTTATGTACTCGCTTGTGTTCATCTCAATTGGGTATCCTAATTTTCCTTTGAGTAAACAAATAAATTGTACCCACCTCACTCAAGCTCAATTAGGTATTTTGCCATTTTCCATTAATTGTAAAAATATAATAAAGATTAAATGTTGGTTTACGTGTTTTGTTATTCATATTTGATATGTTATAAAAGACTGCAAGTTACCAAGTTGAGGTGCTGAAATAGAACTTCTCAATATACCTCAGTTATTTTATCTATTTATTGAGTATTTATAAACATTTCAAAGCGTACTTGTGCGTAATAGACTTGACAAGAATTGAGTTTTCACATAAATATTTAAGTAATTTACATTCAGATACACAGCTTATCTGTGCCTCTGATACATCAAACTAGCAACAAGCCTGACTACCCAATACACCCTTCTTGAAGTTATTGAATCTGGACTAGACAATCCAGTGGTTAACACCATGAGCATCAAGTGAGTGAGTGAGTGAGTTTAGTTTATGCTGCTTTTAGCAATATTCCAGCAATATCAGGGGGAACCAGAAATCAGACATGGGGTAATTGTAATTTGTAATTGTAATTGAATGTAATTAATTACAAAAATCTATGTAATTGCATGTAATTTGTAATTGAATGTTTAAAATGTAATTTGTAATTGTAATTTAATTAATTAATATCTCAATGTAATTGAATTTTTCAATTACTTTTTCAATTACATCAAATTACATCTCACTTTTTTATTTTGGTGGTCATCAGGCAACCCTTGCAATTATATTCTGTACAATAAGGAGGAAAAAGCAGTGTTTTTCAATAAGATGCTTGTTGTCGGTATATACTCTAGCAGGTGTTAAGTTTTGAAAGAGATTTGAATGTCTAAGCCTTTGTAACTATCACCATCTGCACATTTGTGAAACAAAGGGAATCAGTAACACATGACTGAATGTAGGTTGGTATTTGAGGAAATGGGGGATTAACAGTACTATTAGTCAAGTTCCTATCAAAATGGCCTCTTTGTTTATTTCTCATAGGATATGATATTCAAAATCTTACTGAACTGTAGTCCTATTTTTATAATCATGAAAGGTAATAAGCCATAAATCCAAGTTGACAAATCCTTTAGTATGTTAATGTGGATTATGTCAGATAGAGACCGCCTGATTGTATATTGTAATGTAGGCCTGTAATGTCATGATACAGTACACCTAAGGTAACAGTCGTGGACAAAGTGTTTTTTTTGCAACAAGAGATGATAGAGGTGTGTATTTGATAATAAGCCCAAAGAAATATGCAAAATACAAATTTGATCAAATAGCGTACATTGTAGATATAATCTAATTTTGCATTTCACTTTTTGATGACAAAAATATGAATTGGATTTAGTGTTTACCAACATCGATATCTTGTTGATTAAAGGAATACAGAAATATATTTGTTTTGTTTTTTTGGGTTTTTTTTAACAAAGTAATTTGTAATGTAATTAATTACACTGGTAATGTAATTGTAATTTAATTAATTACATTTTAATTTAAGGTGTAATTGTATTTGGAATTGTAATTGAGGAAAATCAAAGTAATTGTAATTTAATTAATTACATTTCAAAGTAATTGAACCCATGTCTGCCAGAAATGGGCTTCACACACTGTACCCATGTCGGAATTGTGGAGAATTGATGGGAACTTGACGGGGGGACACCAGAAATGGGCTTCACACACTGTACCCATGTGGGGGAATTGTGGAGAATTGAGGGGAACTTGAGGGGAACTGGGGGGGGACACCAGAAATGGGCTTCACACACTGTACCCATGTGGGGAATTGAGGGGAACTTGACGAGAGAATGCTTCAACCACCAGGCTACCCCACCGCCCCACGTGAGCATCAATCTAAGCAGGACAATGATGTGCATCACCTAGCCGAAATTCATGGATAATTTTATGCTGGCTGACTGGCTGAGTATGGTTTTACACCGTTTTTAGCAATATTCCAGCAATATCATGGCGGGGAGCACCAGAAATGGGCTTCACACACTGTACCCATGTGGGGAATCGAACCTGGGCCTTTGGCGTGGCGAAGACGCTTTAACCACTAGGCTACCCACAGCCCTGGATAATTTTATGAAGTCAAGCATCACAACATACAGCAAGGGACCTGCCTCATCAAGGTGCTTATCTTTTTCCAGAAAATTTAGGTTGATTTCCAAATTTCATTACAACATTTGCCATTTAGACCAGTGAACTACTATTTGTTACTATCAAGTCACCAAACCTGACTCTCCAATTGACCAGCACAGGTTGCAAGGTGAGTGAGTTTAGTTTTACGCCGCTTTCAGCAATATTCCAGCAATATCGTGGGGCTGCGCCAATATAACCGGTTTACCGGTATTAACCGGTTCAGGCGTTAGAAAACAATACGCATTAAGCGATTGATCGAAAAATGGTATTTTGACATGCATTCGGAAACTTCGTAACCCTCGGAAACCTTGACGATCGTGGGCAACTGTGGTAATGGTGGTGGGAATGACCGTGGTTAAAATTAAATTTTACTGAGAAAAGCAAGATTTATGGATGTCAACTTCTATATTGTGAATGAAGTTGACATCCATAAATCTTGCTTTTCTTATGCATTCCACTTCTACATGCCCTTCAAAGATTTTACATTTAACTGGATTGTTAAGTTTGGTTTGAAGTTGTGTTCTTAATTTTTGTTCAAGTGTTTTGCAATGTTTTGATTCAGATTGTTTTAAATATTTATTCATTAATGACCAATGATGCCTGATATGTCCTGACCAGGTCAAGTTGCTGTCTAAAATCTCAGGGCTTTTTTGAGAGTGGAGAAAGTAGTTCAAACTAGTAACCACTCTGTTGATGTTAAATTATTCTTTTCCTTGTTTCATTTGTGCCAAATATTATTATGTTCTTATTAGTTTTTATTAAAACTTAATCAAGCGTATTAGTGATTTTGTTGTGTGTTTGCTAAATAAAGCGTTAAATCGATTATAAGTAGTTTACTGTTAAAAACAACTTCTGTCTGCAATATATGCTTTATCGCATCGCAATATATCACAATATGAAAATTCTCTGCAATACCCACCCCTAATATCAAGGCAAGGAAACCAGAAATGGGCTTCACATATTGTACCCATGTGGGGAGTCCAACCCAAGTCTTCAGCGTGATGTGTGAACGCTTTTAACCACCAGGCTATCCCGCAGCCCCCAGGTTGCAAGGGTAAACTCTGAATCCCAACATGGGGAGTGAATAAGCAGGGTTGGAAAAACCATTGCCCGGCGTCCGGAGTCCAGTGTTTTTTCTGTTGGGCAAGCAATTTTGTATATCATGCTGTACCGGTGTCCAGTTGACTTTCCAATTTTAATAATGTTGTTTATTAAAAACTCAGCAAGAAAACTGCCAGTATAGTGGAAAAATGATGGGGCAAGTGACTTTACATGTGCAATTATAAAGTTATTTCCACCCCCTAATGAGTATAGCAATCACGATAGCTGAGGACAGCGAAAAAGTCCTCACACACTGAGCCCATGTGAGGAATCAAACCAGGGCATTTGGCATGACAAATGAAAGCTTTTACCACTAGGCCACCCCACTTTCTCCAATACCCATAGGGAGCTATTTTGTACGATACCTTTGAGTGAGCTAGGGGTAGGATCGGGGTCATCGTCGTTTAGGTCCCAGCTGCCTTGCCTGTTGTAGTTAGCACGGAGATCTGGATTCCTCCATTCCATGCCTAGATAAACAACAACATAACAACATTCATACAGATTCATATAATTCAGGGCTCAATTTCAGAGAATTTAACCTACTTGCACCAGGTGCAACCTACGATAAAGACCTAGTTGCACCAGCCAAATTCCAGCTGCAACATAGTGTGTTTAAAACGTCAGAAGTTTCGGTGCACATAAAAATATTTCCGTGATGTAGTACCCATGAAACCATAGCAACACAGAGACACAGCTGATATCTGTTTCAAGAGCTGTCATAGCCGAGGGCGTGTCTATGAATAGCAATGTTTCGGTGCCATAGCTATTCAAAGTTTAGAAGAAAATGAGCTGACATATTTATGCTTATAATGTTAGATTCATCATTGATTTATTTCTCAAAATTGACTTGCACCTAGTGCAAGTTAGATTCATAACTAGGTTTCACATTGTAATACTGGGTTTGCACCAGTGCTAGTAACAAAGCACTAAATCGAAGCCTTGTAATTACATCATTGATGTGTCGATAGGTTTATCAGTTTTGCTGTCAAGGCCACCCCTACCCTCAATTTTAACAAGGGTTACTCTTCAAGATCCAGGTTAGAATTGGTCTTCAGTAACCCATGCTTGTCGTAAAGGTGACTGATGGGATCAGGTGGTCAGGCTCGCTGACTTGGTTGACACATGTCATCATATCCAATTATGCGTAAATCTATGCTCATTCTGTTCATCACTGGATTGTCTGGTTCGGACTCAATTATTTACAGACCAGGGCCCACTTGCACAGAGCGCATCTTAGTTACAATCAATCTTTGGCCCCTACAATCAACTTTACAATCGCCATACAATTGCCTCTAATCCACTTGCACAAAAGCCGATCTTAGAGCCGCATTGTAAGGCGGCATGTATTTAAGATCGTGATCTTAGCTAAGATCGAACCCTTCAACGGTGGAGGTGCGAATTTCTTAAACTTCGACTCCGTCTACAGTTGTCTGAAAGTGCGCATAGCATGCATCAGAAATAAAAAAGTGATACTGGTCCCAGCACACAATACATACCTCCCTCAATCGCACCTTGCAGAATTTTCATGAAAAAGTCCCAGAAATCTTAGAAGGAACCCGATTCGTGGATCGATAGCATATATTTTCTACATTCTAACTGTCTTGATTTATGAACTGAGAATGTGATATTGCAACCACAGAAATACCTACCCATGTTTTATGAAAATACTGAAATACGAAAAAATACATGAATAAATTTGAATCTAGATTTAGTGACTTAATTATGGAACTTAAAATAACAAATATAAGCGGTATTTCCTTATGATATAACACCTAAATGTATGATTTTGCCAATGGTTGTCAATGAGACATTGTTTAAAATGCAGCTGTTGGTGGCGGTGGGGTTGGGGTGGTTGTAAAATCCCCTAAATATATCGAGAATAAAATACAATAAAATAATGGCTACAGAAGTGTTGTAAAGAATGCATGGCGGGAAATAATGCGTGTATTAAATAATATTTCAAGAGAGTAGTTATTAAATACATTTCACAGTATATTAATTATTTAACCCTATTAGCGTTGATAAATATCTTTAAGGCCTCATCATGTGTACATCCCTATTTGATGACTACTTGTATATATTTAAATTGCATAAACAAATTTAGATTTATGGATGAGAAAGAAACTTGATTTTGCACGTTAACTTGTATCTACTTGTAGATTACTTTAATGATAAACTAAGACAAAATCACTCCATGACCGAAAAAGAGATATCAGTATGTTGAGAGCTCTGCAATGGGCATGACAGACTATCGCGACAGCGGCATGTGCCAAGGGAAACCACTCCCATCTTGCGTATAAAGTAAAATTATCTGCTCTTGAGTTAATGAAAAGGTCACGCCATTGTTAATCGCACGCGGACACCATTCACTATTATCCTTTCCTGGATTATCAAGAAGGTATGTTGTTTCACACTTATTCCAACATTGAATCGGTGGGAATAGTACTTTGTGATATCGACCGATAGTTATGTGTTTCACTACAGTAAATAACAATGCATCCGGCGTTAAATCGGTTGTGCATTCTCCGTGTTGTTGAAGTGTCGAGGCGAACCACACAGTTTTATGCAATATAAATGCAATCTCAAGCGTAAAGCTGATTATTTGCGTGAAACAGACACTAATTTGAATGCCATTTCTAAAATGACTAAAATGATCTTAGCTCCTTACAATTGGTCTGGACCAATTGTAAGTTTCGATTGTAACTTACAATGATCTTAGCCTACAATTGCTTTGTGCAGAGTAGATGGCGATTGTAACCCGAAGCCCTAAGATCGCGATCTTAAGGAATTACAATAATTGTAAGCTAAGATCGTTCTGTGCAAGTGGGCCCAGGGATGGAAATAACCAATTGCCCAACGTCCCAGTCCAGTGATTATTTCTGTCGGGCAAGCAAATTTGTATATCACACTGTACGGTGTCCAGTTGATTTTCCAATATTAATTATGTTGTTTATTTAAAATATGAACAAGAAAATCGGGCGGTATAGTGCAAAAAATAATCAGGGCAAGTGATTTTTCATGTGCCGCTGTACCAGAATACACTAGCAATTATAAAGGTTTTTCCAACCCTACAGAGCGCCACCATTTAGCTGGAATATTGCTGAATGTGCCATAAAACACAACTCACTCACTTAATCAAGGGCAATAACAATCAAACTTAATTAATAACATTCACCACTAAAGAATGAGTTCATGCCATCTATTGTGGTTTCTGTCAACATTCTCAACATTATGGCAAATGCACACCCTGTCTTAAGACAGTTTTGAATTCAATCAACATATTATCCCTTAATGATGCAACCCATGCATGTCGTAAGACTGACTGACTGACTGAGTTTGGTTTTACGCCGCTTTTAGCAATATTCCAGCAATATCAAGGCGGGGGACACCAGAAATGGGCTTCACTCATTGTACCCATGTGGGGATTCAACCGGGTCTTCGTAGACGATCAACGCTTTAACCACTAGACTACCCCACGCCCGCAATGTCGTATAAGAAGCAATTAAACTAAATTGAAGGGATAGGGGCGGGTGACATGTGATTGTATCCCAATTGCGTAGATCGATGCTCATGCTGTTGATCGCTAGATTGTCTGGTCCGGGATTATTTACAGACCGCCACCATATCACTGGAATATTGCTGACTGTGGCGTTAAACATCAAATAAACTTTTCAACTTTCGGAAAAATGCACACACTGTCTTGAGACAGTTTTTGAAATCAATCAACATATTATCCTTTAATGATGCATGCAATATTTCACCCCCCTGAAATATTACAGATGGAGCCCAAACCTATATCCCCAAACCCATTTCACGGAGGATGATAATAAATCCCTCCCTACCATCATCCACGACAGCAACGGTGATGCCTTTGCCTGTGACGTTCCGCGCCCACACCCCAGTTACGTTGATGTCCATTCTTGACATGCGCCTGTTGTTCTGGAAACAAAATAGTCTTGCAGTTTAACCTTGACAGTGATTTCACTTTGACATTAATTTGACTCTCATGGGAAACACATAAATACTCATCTTAGGCCCTAATCTGCAGACTGTATTTCTTAAATACAGAAGAAAATATGGACATCAGCTCTGTCAGAGATCAGTTTGTTTATATTCTTTAAGCTATAACTATAAGAATATGAAAATGATGGAGGGAAAAACAAAGCGCCTATGAGCAGCTGAGCTGAGCTGGATATTGGCGCTACACAAGTATATAAGTATAAATTTTAAAAAATAAATAAAATCAATACTTTACACACGGATTTTCCTACGAAATTATATAAATCTATGAGAAAACATTAGGGCAGTCAGAACTTTGTTCACTTTTGATTAGCACTATTCCAAGAGAGTTTTCACAAAACACAATCCAGTGATTGACGTCATGAACACTGATCCATGTTGTGGGATAGGAAGACATGCAATCACACAAGTCTCTGAGTCCGAGTCTGACCACCTGAACAGAGACAATCCAGTGATTGACGTCATGAACACTGATTTTTGTTGTGGCATCAACACCTGACAATGTAGTGAGATGCAGCCCCAGAGGTGAGGTGAGGTGAAATGGGATTTAACGTCTCACTTGAGAATATTTAGCTCATATGAGTGACTGCCGCACTCAGCAATATTCCAGCTATATGCGGCGGTCTGTTAATAATCAAGTCTGGACCAGACAATCCAGTGATCAACAGCATGAGCATCGATCTGTTCAATTGGGAACCGATGACATGTGTCAACCAAGCCAGCGAGCCTGACCACCCGATCCTGTTAGTCGTCTCATACGACAAGCATGGGTTACTGAAGGTTCATTCTAACCCGTACCTTCACGGATTCGCTCATATGACGACGTGCATGTGTGTGTATGTGTGGTTGCTTGTACAAGCCCAGACTTCAGATATCATGCCGCAATTAAGCATGAATACCCTACTCAGACACATTATACTGACTCTGAGCTGATCAGTCCTTGTGATACCCATTAATGACAGGCGCCAGGCAGGGACTAACAAGTACCATATTTTAACGTCTTTTAGTATGAAGCAGCCGGGGATTAAACCTGTGAGTTTCCGCTCTCCAGGTGGATGCTCTAACCACTACACCACAGAGAACTGAATTGTTATACAATAAGGCTGTTGACTTTTGAAAAAAAAATTCCTAATCCAAAATATTTTGAAATAGACAATCCTTTATTTGTTTCCTCTTATGTCTTCGTTTAATATAAATGTATTCCTGAAAGTTCTGAGATGCAAATATTCTGAAAATGGAAAAAAGAAAATTGATAATCCTTTATTTTCTTTCTACTGATGACTTCTATTAATTCCATTCATTAAAACTTATTCCTGAAAGTCCCCTTGACCAGCCTTGAAAAACTGACACGAAAACAACCTATACCCACCAAGTGCCATTGCTGATTATAAGCAGGATCATTGAAGGCAATCGAACGTTTCTGCCTCTTCCGGACAACCTCTTGACTGAACCATTCCACGCCATCATGACCCTGGAGATAGCTCTCAATCCTATCCTTCAAACGCCAAAAATACTCCTGGCTAAGTTCTTTCAGACGTTGATGGTGGCCATGGATACCCTGTAAGTTCGGTTTGGCATCATCAGATTCCTCAAAATGGCACAGCACGTAGTGGCTTGGGAAACTCTCAATGGTAAAGTGTGACGTGGATCCTAGGAATTTCGACAAGGATGATATGTTTTCTGGATCAAAGTATTTGTAATTTAATTTGGAGTTTGGATCTTCAATATTTATCAGTTTGACTGTCCAGCATAGCGTTTCTTCATGTTTGTTGTTGTGGTCAAAATGGACGATCTTCTTGGAGACAATGCAGTGGTTTGGGAAGATTTGGAGAAGTACAAGACATTGGAAGACAGGGAAGAATGTTTTTGGCATGGCCTGAAAGACAGACACAAATCAAATGAAGTATCATACAGGATATCAAATTAAACATTAAGAGGAAAATACAAAATGTAAACATGGTAAAATTTAAAAAATCAAAGATTTAAGGGATCCTACTTCAAATAACATCCGTTTATAAAGCAAGCCATTTTCATATGGGGTACGACTTCCGTCCGTATCCCCTTAAATTTTAACGATGAGGACAAATTCCTTTGAGGGGCACTTTCAGAAGTTGGATATGTCTTTCAGTAAACATTCAGATACAGTTAAAGAAACATGTTAAAACTCATCCTTATCAGATGAGGAATATATATATTCAGGTGATATGATTTGTCTACGGACGTACGGACGGAAGTCTTCACAAGAAGTACTTACTCCAACCTAGTTAAACTAAACAGTTTCCCCTTTAAAAATTAATCTACTCAGATTAAATATTTTCCGAAACTTCATAGTCGCGTTTTCCTTTTACCCTCAATCGAACGAAAACGATGAATCCAGATAATTTTCTAGGAGATTCAATACATACTTACCTATGTGTCTGAGAGCACAGCTCTCAAGGTATCATTTTATACGCTTAGTTGTTCTTTGCCACGAATAATACAACAATTATTGATCAACACAACAGCTGACAAAACCAACCTTATTTCCGGAAGTCAGTGTGTGTTATTAGTTTGTAACAAGAAGCACGATTGGCTGATATTCAGCCATGAATTTCTATCGAAGATGACGATTGGCGCAGTGAGCGTCCAAGGGGAATAACTTGGAAACATCAAACTCGAAAACTTTGCAACCCATGCAAAATTTCCTGTCAAACACAGTGCAATTTCTCTGGAATTATCAGACATATTTGTTTGCATTTTGCTTGAAAACCTTTGAAATTTATAACATTTGTTTCATGAACGACTCTATGTAAAACATTTAATATTTTTGCATTCCACTGGGGCACTGAGTAAAAAACGTTTTGGGATGGTTTTCAAATGATTATATAAAACTGGTTCAGTTGTAAATTATGACGAGGCAGAGTAATTACTTGGTCTCTTGATTGTGTAGCTAGATTTACTGAATACTCTCTGCATAGATGAAAAACATTTCCCCGGTGATGTTGGAATGTCACATATTTCCAAAAATATACGAGTTAAGAAATCAATAGTGATCAAGTTTAGTTTTACGGCGCTTTTAGAAGAATTCCGGAAATATCACGGCGGGGGACACCAGAAATGGGCCAACAACACATTGTACCCATGTGTAGAACCGAACACAGGTCTACGGGGTGACTAGCGAACGCTTTAACCGTCAGGCTACCACGTACGTACACCGCCTGTGAAATTAATTTTAAAAGCGTCAAAAGAAGAGACACTGCGGCACGTATAGTTGGCTAGTGTGCATCCTGTTAGTACGTCAAAGTAAACAATGAGGATATAGTTATGTGGTGCAGTAATGTTCATACCACACCAGCCGACCCCTGGGTATTCGGCGACGTTACAGAATATTCATTGTCTATTTGGCGAAAAAAAGATACCCGTGATTGCTAATATTATGGATATTTTTTGTAAATCAGTTCTCCGAGTACATGTCCTATATTTGAATTTAAGAAATACTCTACAAAATGCCTTAATATTCACGGGTTCGCTGTATCACGTTGATGAGTTATAAGAGCCAGGGAATGTGTTCACATACACATCGATAGGGTTTCAAGGGATCTGTAAATTCATCATTTAAAGTTAATAATATTAATTTTTATTCAAATATAAAACTATATAGGTTATGCTAACATTCTCGTGGAACATTATAGGCGTAATCGCATCGCCGACAACTTGCAATAGGGTAATCCCGCCAAACATTTGGAAACATTTGAGGGATTTCTTTAAATATTTTATGTATGTTTCACTTACTTTTGTCACCTGACATGAAAACGTCACATCGGAGTGAGTAAGTTTAGTTCTGTTTTACGCCACCTTTAGCAATATTCCAGCAATATCACGGATAAGGCCACCAGAAATGGGTTTTTACACATTGTAGGGGGAATCGAACCCGGGTCTTCAGCGTGACGAGCGAAGTAGCTATAGTAGCTTTAACCACTGAAGTACTGTCGGAAATAGAATAAAACTGTATTTTCTCATTTATCTCAACAATTTATGTAGTTGATATGTGCAAGTGTGAAATATATGTTTAACTAAGTTCGGCCTAACTACAGCCTCAGTGGTAGGGACATAGGAAACGTAGAAAAGGGACTTTACTGAGGAGAGATTAGTGCAGAAATGAGCAATGCGGGGTTTTTTCTAAGACCAAAACGATTTATTTGGAACAGACCATGGCTTTATGTAAATTAGTGTGCGACGATATTGTATTACAAAGGACACTTTTTAAATGTCCAATTTGAAATTAGACGTAGCTTCATTATAAACGATAGGTGGCGTAAAACATAATAACTTTCATGCTGAAACTATTAAGGATGTAACTACCATGGAGTCTCACTGTCACTATAAAAAGAAACAGATCGGAGGGTACGTCTCAAAAGCAAAACCTGGACGGGTGTCGCAGATGATCGTTGGGGTCGGGCTGGGGGATAGAGATATCAGCTAAGATAAGATAATCCTTTAGGGCAATTATACTGGGGAAGTACCCGGCATGTCATAACAATTTACAAATAATATGCAGTCCTGTCGATCTTCGTGATCAGGTGGTCATGCCACCAATATATTTTGAGACATTTAATACGATGCGTTTCTGTGGTTATCAGGTACAGTCCGTTTGAGACAAAATGATACCAATGAATTGCAATCTAACACAAAAACAAATAGACATAAAATAATCAAACCAACGCGGAGTGCAATAAAAACAACAGACCAACTCTAAAAAAAATTGCATAATTTTTGTCACAAAAATAAAAAAAGTTGTTTAAGAAACAGTGATCATTTATTTGTGCGTTTTCCCAGTTTGTTACAAGGGCGCATTGGCAACTAAAGGAACAGCGCGAAATAAAAATATGCTAAAAAATTATGATAAGGGAGTGGGGTAATTGATTTTGTACATGACATGCAGGGTGGGGTCACTTACTTTGTGCATACATTTTAGGGGGGGTTATTAACATTGTACATGCTTCTCGATACAAATCATCACACACACACACACACACACACACACACACACACACACACACACACACACACACACACACACACACACACAAAGCCATAAATTATGAACGGTCCCTAAGACATAGTCAACACACGTGAAAAAGCACAAAATATATTTGAGATGACCCCTCGTGCCTGTAGGCAGCATATGCATTTCATGCCAGGTGAGTCGACGGTCCGTCGTCATACCTGGCTGAGCGACCTAATTGCCATCTATAATCTGATCTATTGTTTTCAGCAGCTATTCGTATTTTTTCTAAGTTTTGCCCGATTTTACGAGTAAACATGCTCTTCTGGATATCCTATAACGTATCCCACTGAATGCCAAGTTAGGCCGAAGTGGGTTATTTCGACATATGCTATTTGCAGTTGTTTAAAGTTTAGGGATACAGAGTAACAACCTAAAAAGGTTTTTTTTTCTATTTCCGACAGTACTTTGGCTCGGCTACCCCACCGCCTCAGTCACATCTGAAGCAAGATATGAAATATATTGACGTCCAACCACACGAGATTACGACACTAATCCATACATCAAGTAAAATGTACAGAATAGTATGAATTCACTGAGCCAAATCTCAAAGAAATCGTCGTAAAATATTACAGCAATGCACCGACCTATACTCATGTCAATAAGGGTTGTCACCCCCTTCAATTTTTTTATTGGAGAGGGATGTGGGGTGGAGGGTGGAGGGTTGGGGGGGGGAACCATTATTGGCATGAGTATATATTGGCAAGAGTGTTACCGAATTGAGGTTTGGTAGCAAAAACAAGCATTCAATGTAATGGACAATGGATACAGGCATCCGAATTTGCTCTAGTTCAACCATTTTATAAATATTGACAGTGTATATGACCGTTCCTAGTACAAGACAAGTCTGATGACATCATATGGGACGCCCTTCTTCTTGGAATGCATGGATCAGTTCTTGTCTGTTTGCTGAGTGAGTTTAGTTTTACGCCACACTCAGCAATATTCCAGTTATATGTCGGCGGTCTGTAAACAATCGAGTCTGGACCAGACAATCCAGTGATCAACAGAATGAGCATCGATCTGCGCAATTGGGATACGATGACATGTGTCAACCAAGTCAGCGAGCCTGACCATCCGATCCCGTTAATCGCCTCTTACGGCAAGCATGACTACATCGAGATTAAAAGCGTCAAATGAACCCGGTTCGTCTCAGAGGAATGGGGTGCATGTCTGGGCAGCGAGCTGGCCACGGCACCACGTTGACGTTGTTGGCAGCGAGGAGGTTCTGCACAATGTGGGCTGTTGTGAAACAGATGAGGTTGCTCAGAGATCGGGGGCATTCATTCATTCATTCACTCACGCACTGATCGAAAATGGAAACAAGGCTGAAAAGCGGCGTAAAACCACACTCACTCAATCAGCCATTCATTCATTCAATCATTCAATCATTCAATCACACATTCAGGTAAGAACGCCTAGTATATACATAACTTCGTGCTTTCATTCCTCATTGAACTCACACGCGGCGAAATGGAACGCACACGCACATGCACACGCACACACGATCACACACATCCTACTCATACATTTATCAGATAGTAGGTTGTGAAAGGTCTCTTTAACCGAGGCGCCAATCATGATTAATTCTCAGAAGCCAAGACCCAAGCTCCGATGTAATCTGGGACCGCCGCCAGGAGCTAAACCAGACACTGACAGCGACTGAAGACGTGTAATTGATAGTACAGGGAACTTAATGAAAGACAAGATTCCCTCATTGCACGGTCTACGTAAATGAGTGACGCGTAACCTTTTAATTCAATGAGATCTCTTAGTTCATTATGCAAACAAAAATCTCTAATATCCGGGTACCCTTAGTGATGTCAGGTGACCTTACCTTCCAAGAATTTCACAGGTTACCAGAGAGTTTGGTTTAAAGCCGCTATAATGACTCATTCAGCTTTATTAGCTAAATATAGGAGAAAACCTAAAGTGTTGCACTTTGGTCTCACCCATGGGCGCGGATACAAAACCCAGGAAGAAAGTCCAGAGTTCGAGCCCTGGGCCTTATGGTTCTGGCTAAGCCAAGGGACACAACTCTGCGTAACCTGTAGGTTAAGAAGTGTGCGTGGTATGTTCACAGCGTACATCAGACAGGAAGGTTTGCCCCACTGTTTAAAACGATCTGTTTATAGTTCTCATTGTATAAATAAAAATGATTTGTGACGTTTATTATACGCTTAAATTGTTGGGATTGACTCAAGTATAAGCGTTTTGTTAACCCAGCGCCGTGCCCCTCTTCACTCAAGAAACTCTCAGTGATCAGACACAAGGACAACAGAATGTAACCGTTTGCTTATGTCAGGGAGAATATCCCTTTCGAACTACTTTTAAGGTCGAACAGCAGATCCATCTGCTAAGAGACGAAACTCTCTACTTATCGTCGATATCGCAGTTACCTCATAACACTGGGGCCGGTGTGGTAGCTAGTGGGTAAAGCGGTCGCTCGTCACGCCGAAGACCCGGGTTCGATTCCCCACTTGGGTACAATG